CGTTTGATGACAATTTGACTTATCGCGTATGTGTGTTAAAATGTAATGCTCAATGTCTCAAAATTATTTATTAGAGAATGTATATATGTTTAAACAGTTTACACAGATGCAGCATGTATATAGAGATTTGTGTATCATGTATGTATGTTTTTTAGATATGCGCAACAGTGAGCAGCAGTGTAAAACCACTCTGACACTTTGTATAGATATAGTAGGTAAGCTTACGCGCACAGTTTAACCTACTACCACACCCTAACCGACTATCCGCTGTTATTATTTGAAATTTTGTACTTGCTACATGCGTAGTAAATGAGCTATACTATTCAATGCTAATTATTCCATAAATTGTCTACCTATAGCTCATAACACATGTTAGGTAGGAGCGGAGACGTAGCACCCAGAATTATATCATATATGTAGGCGGGAATTTAAAGGCCTTAGAGGTTCACCAAGGTACCCTAATACGTGAGCTTTGTTACCACTCGTGAGACCTATCTGGTTTTGCTACCTTATTTATCAAGTGCTTATTTATCTCTTTATATCCGGCTTTATCTGTGTGCAACCACACACATTTGTATATGCTACTAAAATAGACGTTTATCGCAAATCATTCCGTTTTGCAAAAGCATCAACAACGCGGGCGTTGACAGTCAGATATTCCGCAACGTCGATTGCTAACGTTCGTTCACCAAGAATTTCAACATTCGCGAGTGTGACGTCATTAGCTTTTGGATAATGAGCAACGTTATATTTATTTAATATTGCTGCAATTAGTCTGGAATTACCAGTCTATTATCTATAGCGGCTCAATATATAGCACATCGTATTGAACAATAACACCACGCGAATACATTTAGTAACTTTCCGTTGTGAAAAAATATTTTGTAACAGGTTATATATAGTTTGTTGCAAAATATATGTGCAATTTCATTAGCGTGCATGTTAGCAATTTTGTAGACGTTTTTGCTTTAATAAAGATAGTTATAGAACAAAATATCGTGGTTTCGTTTACAAGTATAAATGTATATAGTAACAAACATTGTATGTATTTTGACATTACGGTACCGCATGCCTATAACACATAATTAACTAGATTAATAGACTAATAGATTAATCATATAGATAAATAATACGCGGTGTCTATGTGAGTATATAGTTAGAATAGAATAGATGTATATACGTTGGACATACATTGACTAAAGAGAACAATTAATAACATCATGATCGCCATAAAAACAACTACCACTGTTACTATTACTATTACTAGCTGTTACTATTACTGCAACGCTGCTTTGTTCACGAGTTGGCCAAATACCACTACCAGTTCAACACTCTGGCTTGTACCACCTGTGCAGGTGGCCGGGTGTATAGGTGGTGCACAACAGTAGTGGGCGACAGGCCTGAAGAAGCATCGAACGGAAATTAATTAAAAACACTTAGAGAGTTTCGGCGCATACGCGACATACACTTAATTCATGTTAAATGACCACAGATTCAAAGTTCGATCTTCACTCATGCATCTATCTATCTATCTATCTATATATCTATCTATCTATCTATCTATATATCTATCTATCTAATCTATCGATCTATCTATCTATTCTATCTACTCTCTCTATCTATCTATCTATCTATCTAATTATCTGTGATCTATCTATCTATCTATCTATCTATCTATATCTATCTATCTATTATCTATCTATTCTATCTTATCTATCTATTCTGTTATCTATCTATTATCTATCTATCTATCTATCTATCTACTTCTATCTATCTATCTATCTATCTAGATCTATCTATCTGCCTATCTGCCTGACGGCCGTACTGCCGACGACAGACGGCCAGTCCGTCCGCCCTTCGTCTGTCTCGCCGTGTCTGTGCGTGGCGCGTGCGTGCTTGCGTGCGTGCTTGCGTGCGTGCAGTTTGTGTGTGTGTATGTGTGTGTGTGTGTGTGTGTGTGGTGTGTGTGTGTGTGTGGTGTGTGTGTGTGTGCGCGCGCGCGCGCGTGTGTGTGTGTGGTGGGTGGGTGTACGTGCTTCTTGCGTGAATGTATATATCTCGCCATCTCTCTCTTTCTGTGTGTGCGCGTGCGTGCGTGCGTGCGTGCGTGCCTGTTTGTGTGTGTTTCTGCGTGTATATGAGCGTGTGCATGAGAGGAGATAAGACTGAAAAGGGAGCGTACAGCTAGCGTGCGTGCGAGTGTTTGTGCGTTCCTGCGTGCGTCCCTGCGTGCGCGCGAGCGTTGGTGCGTTGTTATGGCCCAGTCACACATTGAATATAGCCCGCGAATTGAAAATTAATTAAAAAATGGAAAATAAGATCAGTGCGTCGTTGTGCGCCCAACTTTTGTCGGGATTTGGGAGAAGCTAGCTAGTTGACAACGAATGCACAGCGTGTTGCTAGCGCGCTGCGCGTGCGTATACAGGGCGCATACAGAGCGTATACAGGGTGCATACAGAGCGTATACAGGGTGCACATGTTAAAAAATCCAACGAATGCACAGCGTGTTGCTAGCGCACGGAACAAATGGTCCGCGCATGCACCGCGCATGCACCGCGCATTCAACGCACAGCCAGCGAACGGTCAGGTCAGCGAACGAACAGGACAGGGATATGGTGTTGTGAGGCACCCTCTACCCACAGGACATAGGGTGATACTTAGTCCCAGAGGCAAGATGCCGCAGAGTGAGGGCAAGCTTCAGGCCAGGGTCGAGGGCCTCTCTGTGGGTTGTATTCTGCTTTGTGATCCTCGGACCCATTCTGGTTAGCAGCTCGTCGAACATCTCGGGGGCCATCCGCATAAAGTTCTTGAAGGCTGCCTGGTCTTCGTTACGGAGTTCAACAAGTAGCTAGTCATACAGGCCAAACTGTCGTCGCCTACCGATCCACGGTCGGACCTAGAACCTCCGTTGACCTCTTCTCTGTCTCCTTCTCTTGATGACATAGACTTGGTGAAGTGCCAGTTTCATGAGGTTCTGCTGATGTTGGAGAACCGCGATTTCGTATTGTAGTCGCAGCCTGTCGGGATCCTCCTACTTCTGAGGTGGTTCTTCTAGACACGATCAGCAGGAACCTCTGTCATCACTCATGAGGGTCGGAGGAGAAATGATGATGAGGAGGTGGGGCGGGACCCGTTTATATACCCCATGGCTACACGCTGCGTACACGCTAGCAACACGCTAGAAGAACGCTGGGCGCGCTACAGACTCGTTCAGCACTCGTTCAGCACGCCCATCAGTGCCGGATTAACCATTAAGCAGACTAAGCACGTGCTTAGGGCACCAGGGCCAAAGGGGGCACCACAAAGTTGGGAAAAGGGTGAAAATAAAAAAAAATGAATAAAGATTTGTACTTCCCAGGTGTACCACAAGAGGCCCCAACAATACAATACAATACAATACAATACAATACAAGGGGCCCCTAATGCCACCCAACAAGGTGCTAATTCCCAATTATCAGAAAGTGAAAGGTACTCAAAGACTTGTCAGACACTCATTGATGTTTATCCAGATGACATGAACAACACTTTGTCTACAGAGCTTCAGCAGTTCCATTCATATGTTCTTCATAAGTTTAAAACAACCAAGAAAACATCTTTTACTCACATGGAACTTTACAACACAATTACAGAAGACAAACTAGAGAGTGCCTTTCCAAATGTTGAAATTGCCTTAAGAATATTTTTAACATTAATGGTCACCAACTGCACAACAGAGAGGTCTTTCTCACAACTGAAACGTGTAAAAAAACAAATAGATTGACTCGTAGTCAGAATGAAGGTGTACATGCATGTACGCTCAAAATTGCCTCAAATACCATCTCTTGCGATCTACATTTTAAAAAATTTCTGGGGGAGGACCCCCATACACCCCGCCTGTTTATCACCACCCTCCATGAAATCCTACATAAATTTTTGTACTACTGCAACCTGCATTGTATATTTGGTCAGACAGGTCAACAACTAAAATGGACTGGGTCAGTGTGGAAAGGAGGGGGCACCAAGATTGGTCAGTGCTTAGGGCACCAGTGAGCCTTAATCCGCCCCTGACGCCCATATTCGCTGCATGTTCGCTGGGCATGTGTTAGAAGCACGCTAGGTGTGCGCTAGGTGTGCGCTAGGTGTTCGCTACACCTCAGCCGACGAACATACAACGAATACCCAGCGTGTGCTCCGTGTGTGTCTGGCGTTGGTCCAGCGCGCTTTGCGCGTGTCTGGCGTCCTTCTGGCGTGTACATTCATGCGACGAGCTCTGCGCACATTTTTGTGCATGCACAAAAATCCCGACGCACACAGCGAATGACAACGAATGCATAGCGTTGGTCCAGCGCGCTCGACGAACGAGTAACGAATGCTGACGCACACCCATCGAAAGACAACGCACTGGCCAAAATTGCAAAATTTTCAGTGCGCGGGCCGTGCGTCGTGTATGTGTGACTGGGCCATTACATGCGTATGAAGCTATGAGCGTTCGTGCGTTCCTGCGTACGTGCAAGCGTTCATGCGTTGTTGCGTGCGTATGAGCATTCGTGCGTTCTTGCGTGCGTGCAAGCGCTCGTGCGTTCTTGTGCGTGTATATCCTTGTAAACGTACGCGAGTAAATTAGCATATGAGTATTTGTGTAAATAACATTATGAACCGTAGATGGGGGATGTCTCTCAAATGTCCTTCGAATATATTTGCACGTATTTGTAACGCAAACCCTAATCGACGCGCACGTTCGCGGAAATGCATCTACGGGGATATCTCTATAGGGTAGAATGCTTAGCGTTACGTTTGCAACGAGAAGTGCTGATGCGGCTAAACAGTCCTGCTAGTGCATGCCGCTGGCTGAAGATGCGCGCGTTAATGCTTTCTTTGAATTTATACACGAAAGAATTTTATGCTAGTCGCCCGCGAGCGTGCAGGTGCCTAGCATCGTTTATGACGCCATCGCCCATGTTATTCCGCGCACGTTGCCCTCATATATCATCGGGTTAATAAAACATGGCACCACATCAAGGTTTCAGCAGTGACGTGAAAAACATAACGAGTTAAGTCGTGTTTATTAAATTATCGGTTTTATTGATGTGGATTTATAATATCAAGAGCGTATAAAGAAGGAGCCTTCTTTATACGCTCTTGATAATATGTTCATACAGATCGTCCATATAGATCGAGAAAGCGACGTAAATATTTTAGATTAACAAATTTGTTATATAACAGCTAGAGCAGGAACATACAGAGTTCTTTCTAATGCACACAGAACATATAAACTATACAACGATATGAAGATGTTATACGTTGCAGTACGTCCACGATCTTTTAAGGATATACATAGAATGCGGGTATATGCGTGTGTAATCTGTGTATGGGTGCTCGGGTGTATGTGCGCATATAATATTTGTACAGATTTCTGTTTGTAGACGCTGCCAATTGCTATCACTGCCGTACGTAAATGCCACGAACTGACCAATTTCGCGGCTGCCGCTTATTTAGTTGTGGTGTATATAACCGCTGCAATGCGAACGATTATATGCTCGTCGTGACCTGCTCTGACAGAGCAACGTTCTCCGTCGCCGAGCTAACCTTTGACAAGGATTCTTCCTGATCGTCGTCATCGCCCATGTCGCCCTGCTCCTCTGACTTCATCGTGCCGTAGATGACATCATCCTCTCGCCGGCAGCGGGTCAGCTGCCAAAATCGGCGACGGAAGACAGGCGAGAAGAGCGCGTATATGAGCGGGTTGACGCACGCGTGCAGGTAGGCGCTGACCGTAGCTAGCAGATGAATCCAGTCTGCGTGGACGCTGCTCCTGATCCATAGCTCCCCGTAGAGCGACTCCAAGCTGATGACGTAATATGGTAACCAGGCGACGCCGAACGCGATGACCAGAGCCGCTAACGGGAGTGTGGCTCGCTTCATCTGGCCGTAGCAGGTGACGCTGCGGCCGCTCCTGCTGATCAGGAACAAGATGGCGACGTAGAGTGCAGCGATGACGATTAGCGGGACGACGTAGCCGATCCCAAACATAAATCCGAAGAATATTCTCAGGCTCAGACCTCGCGGAAGACAGTAGGTCTTTCTCTGGCCGCCCGGTGTCAGTGCGCGACTGTACACGGTCGTGTGCCTGAGCGCGTACAGCGTAGTTAACGTTCCGAACACAATCCAGATGGCAGCCATCGAGGCCAAACAGAAGCGACGTCGACTCTTTGTCGGGTCTAGTGCGACCAGATACCTTTCGACTGCCATCAACAGGAGCGTGTAGATGGCTAGTAGGTAGCTGAGGAGCACTGTGTAGTTGAAGAAGCGGCACATCTCCCGTCCGAACGGCCACGACTCCAGTGACCAGTGCGCACCGAACAGCGGCACGCACACGGACACGAACAACAGGTTGATCACCGCCAGATTGACCACTAGCCAATTCTCGTGCTTGCCCCGCATGTACGGGCTCAGCAGCACGCTGAGAATGACCAGTACGTTTCCGACAATCCCGAGCACAGCGATCGCTGCACACGCGACGGGTCCGACGATAGTGTGCAATGGCGCCCAGTTATCGCTCGGCAGCAGCGCAGTACTGCGATTCGCAGCGCTCATATTCAGATAATCTAAGTACTCCATGGCTGCGATGTCATCCATAATTGTACCAGTGCCTGCAAGCAAGAAGTCACGATAACACTTTCTCACGCGTGTGTCTCCCCGGTGTCGTCCTACACGCAATCAGACGCTGGGCACGTACATATTCGCCAGCTGCAAGCCGTGTGGTGCATGTCAATGCACACACGCTGGCTAAACAAATCTTTCGCGTCCCAGTACGCTTGCTCTGCGTATCGCATACACCGCTACTACTACTAGCTAATGCTACATAGCATCGCACATTGCTCAGAGCGAACTCGATTCGTGCCTGCTTCTGTGGGCGGCTAATCGGGTTTGTCCCACTCCAACCCGGCCGTTCAGGACGAGTGAGCCGGGACAGCGTGTTCGCAGCGGACGTATAGGCGGTCGCTCGCTCGTTGCCACATTCGTATACGGGCCCGTTTCACGAAGCTATTGTAAAAACACCATCTTAAGGATATCCTTAGAATTTTTGTACGAGAGCCTAACGCTGTCCTAAACGTCCCTCGTTAAAGTGCGGCATAGACTGGTACCCTATCTCTACACCTTGCTACTAGACGTGATGCGGCCATGATGCCGAGGCGCGCCGAGGATTGACACTTTGTGTCTTCCAATCACAGCCGCACCAGACTTTGATATTTTTAAATATGGGGACCCATTGGACCACCAAATCGCCGATCTCAGGAACTAGGGCATTCTGCTATGTTAGAACGGTTTCCTACGATAGAGTTTGCCACAAATACGAAAATAACACGTTGTTTAACGCACTGCGCTACGTCCTTCTGTTGCATTTTCGCATCTCCGTAATCAGAACAAGTCCCGCCTTCTTCGTTGATAGAACTGAATGGGGCATCACCGACGTGACCAGTTACTGTACATACTGTCTTTCGCCAGCCTAGCTGTTTACTTTTCGTAAATAATGAAATGCCTGGCCGATGCATTTCGCATCGAAGTGGAACATTTTCGGCATTTTCACTCGCTGTCGGAAGTGAACGAGTGCGCCATTCATTGAACATTGAAGTTTTTCTTCAAATTAAATAATTTCGAAAATCCCTAACCGCGCTACTCGATTGTTTTAGCCAATGAACGTAGCTGTGTGTGTGACGTCTTGCCCGCGCGCTTTATGCTTGGCCTAGCGGGCCTTGAAATGGATATCGGTGGCAAGCACCTCGCAACACGCGTGTTTGTTTACATATAGCTTTGTGACATGAGGATGGGCGGTGTTAGGGAGTTTTGCGATGATAACCTCGTAATTTCTCAGAATTTCTTAAGGTGCATGGAACATTTTACTAATTTAGTGGTTTCAGTTAGTCACCGATATGTCACAGTAAGTACTAACCGTAGATGTTTTACATACGTTCACCTATTTTGCACACAGGCGGTCACAGGCGATCATTATGAAAAATTTTGTGAATATTTATTTTTATTGAGACGTTCCAAGTGCCTGTGCTTTCATCAGTCTTGTACGTCAACGATCGTGCGTCAAGAGCCATAAACTCAACACAATTTCATCTTTGTTATTGTTTACGCCTGAATGCGTGATTGATCAGAGAGGGGGTGCATGTAAGAGGGAGACATTTTCTTTGGGGTTCCGAAAAACACAATTCCACTTGACAATTTCATGGGCCATTTCAATTGGACGCTCTGCATAATGGACCCCCAACAAGCCCTTTGACTGACTAGTCAAGAAATTCAAAGGTCTGTATATTGCTCTTATTTAGCCGCCGATAGTTCTTATTTAGAACAAAGTCTTCATTGTTATCTTCTAAAACTACAGACTATCCGCTGACCGCTGTGGAGACGTGCGCCGAGCCTCGAATTTGGCGCGTCTTCACTGCGGACAGCGCTTCATACTTAAACATCCCCGCGGTCGCGTGCGCATATCCAGCGGAACTGCGCGTCTCATCCGCGCGCAGCGCTCAGGATCGACAGCAAAGCTGTGCCACGCATTCTTGTATCATGTCTCTCTGGATAGTCTATATATAGAGACATGTTACAAGTCTAATGGCGACCCAGCTCACTGTGAGTTGCTACGCTATAATCTATCGCGTCATTTAGTTTAATAAATGTAGGTACAACAGCTAGCGTGCAAACTAAAAATAATATGTTAAAAGAATTTTTAAATGCCAAGTACCTGAGAAATAATTAAACTAAAGCAAGGTTGTCATATTTCCTGCAACTAGAACTACCAGAAATGACGTATTGACTGAACAAAAATGTAACATAAATTCGGAAGGTTTAGATTTACGTTTACTTTGACACCGTATTGGCGCCATAGGATACAGTAATTACATACACCGAAGCCGGTCAAAGCACATGTAAGGTGCAAGGAAGCTTTTCATCTCTTCAAAATCCGCTACCACAATAAGAAGCTTCTTAGCCACACTTAACCCCTGCGCATCATGCCTTCACAGGCCTTGCACAGTATTCTCGTAGACACAGAGAAGTTACCTTTTCGGCAGGGTTTCGCTTTACACGACTGCTTGCCATAACAATGAAAACACGCGGGAAATCTCGCGTTGCTTGCTGTACGATAGCCTAAGTACTGCCCCTGACCTGTCCTTAAGATTCCTCCTTAATAGCAACGTCGTTGAGTTATTTGAGACGTTTTGTGAAACTGGAAACTTAGCGAGCTTTCGTGAAACACTCTATATATAAGGTATCCTAAAACCTTCTTTAACCCATCACTAACTTAACGAGCGCTTCGTGAAACGGCTATGAGAGAGCTAGCCGGCCGTGAGAAGGCGCGTTACCTCGCAGTAGCCCGACCCAATGCTCAATTACTCGAGGGTTTGCTTCAGTTCTCTCTCTCTCTCTCTCTCTCTCTCTCTCTCTCTCTCTCTCTCTCTCTCTCTCTCTCTCTCTTCTCCTCTCTCTCTCTCTCTTCCTCCGTCCTCCTTCCCTCCCAGTGGCGTAGCTAGGATTTTTTCAGCGGGGGGGCACTGGGGGGCCTTACATTTTCGTGGGGGAGAGCACAATATATAACTTTTCTTTGTATTATACTGTTCTAACGGCATTGTTTTTAATTCAATTTTTTTTTATCAAGCATGAATTTTCAGTGGGGGGGCACCTGGGGGGGCACAGAAATTTGTGGGAGGCCCCCCCGTAGCTACGCCCCTGTTCCCTCCCCCTCTCTTCCGCCTCTCTCTATCTCCCTCTCCTCAGCTCGCTTTCAATCTCCCACGCACCCTCTCTCTCCATGTTTTCATTTTTGCTTCTCTCTATCTCACCCCCCCCCCATCTCTCTTTTTTCACTCTTTATCTCGCTCGATCTCTCTCCCTCGCATCCGTTCTTCCTGTGCGCGCGTCCTCTCTCTCTCTCTCTCTTGCTCTATACACGCGCCACACTATCCTATTCACTGCCCATGACGCACAAGGTCAGCAACTTCCTGCCGCTGGCACAAGACTGCACAAGACATGCTGTCAGTTTTTACTATTCAGTGTACTGGCTCGATAGGCGAAATCTGACCTCGTACTCACCCGCTCGCCACTGCTGCTGTTGATCACGTGCGCTCAACACCAGTCGACAGTATAGTTGCACCTGTCTGTCTGTGTCTCTCCGCTAAGGCTGGGTATCTGTGTGTACACAGCATATTGCCCTGGTGACAACATTAGTAATCGAAGGACACACGTACGCCACTAAAGATCGGAAGGACATTCGCCAACATCGCGCGTTCAGGCTAATTAACCTATTAATTTAGCAGTGTAATCCTTATTTCTAGTTTTTGCTTACTGTCCGTAAATTTTATATGAGTATATATATACGTCCATACAGCTCAGATACGGTATCTAAGCTGTATGGATGTATTTTAATGACAAAAAGATACGCATCATACGCCCTACGGCCTACACATTCCAACTCGTACCGTTATGACGAGTAATGCGAGCGTATAGACCGAATCGTCGTAATCACGAATAATTTATCTTGTACGTAGTAAACATCTTGGAATCAGTCTATATGATACTCGGTGTTCAAACGTATGGGTCAACAGCGCGTGGGAAGGATTTTAAGTCGAGTGGGATTTGCCTGACATTTAACTTGTGTTTTACTCGACGTGGGAGGTCCCTAAAGTGTTTCATGTCAGTAGTAAGAATAATATTTTTCGGGTATGCGTAAATGAAAAGAATGAAAACGAAATTAAATATTTTTAAAGGTGGTATATGTCTTGGACTGTTCGGAGGACTGTCTAGACCTAATTCGATCCAATTTAATTCCACTTATCAGATTACGCCGTGTTACAGAAGGCAGCGTTCTGTAGACTTTCCTTGGGAATTTTATAATAGCTGGGGGTAGTATACAGGTTGTAGTAACACACCCCACCATTAAAGGTTGGTGTTAAGCCCCGCCCCCGCCCCCACTCATGGGTATACGGATGCACCGCACCCGCGTTCCCAATTTCTCCGGAAAAGGGGTACTTTTTGTTCAGCTATCTCCGGCCCAGGAATCCTTTAAAAAATGGTACATTTAGCAGGTTTATCCGGAGAAATACAGAAAAGAGGGTATTTTTTTCAACTGGCCCGGAGATATTTTTAAGAAGGGGTGTTTAAAACCAGCCCGTAAGAAATTGATAATCCCCGACTTTTACGATATAGTATCCAAAGAATTACTGTAAAAGAGCGCATAAATCCTGAGATAAGGCCATGAGAATTGAGGTATGAGTTTACCGTCCGAGATATTTTGAAAAATGAGGCTTTTTTTCATTTTTCATTTTTCATTATTCATTTAATATTTGTAGTTAACCCATTGTTCACGTTTTTCGGGATCGGGCTGTAAGTCGATGTACTCAGGATACGTCAGCATGCTTTTGCGCCCTAAACCAAAACCAAACTCAAGATCTCAAAGAGCCAGAAGGGGATCAGGACCCCAATGAAGGATGTAAGTAGGCCCTATAGCGTTTTTGTATTGGTAATGTATGTTTTAATCGCTCTCAAATAGACAACTTGGGTTTTAATGATTTAAAAATAAAAATAATAAAATACTTTTGAAATAATGAATATTTTCGGCGGTGGCTCTGACGGCATGCGGGCGGTGGACGGTAAACTCATACCTCAATTCTCATGGCCTAAGGGGGTGTATTCTTGAAGAGTCCAGAGATATAATAGGGGCCGGGTGTATTTCTACCGAGTCCTGAGATAGGGGGTAGAAAAAGAGACATAAGGCCGGGAAAAAGGGAGTAAAAAATTATGGTCTTTCCTGAGATAGGGGGCGGGTATTTTTGAAATCATGGAACAAGCGTAGGCGTCCACCTAATATTCTGAGTGGGGGAGCCGGGTGTAAAGCTCTTTGCTGTTGTAATAATTTAGCTTTAACTGGCGCGACCCTCCGCCGTGGCGCGTGCTCGTTTATCATAGAGCTTATACATACGCGCTCATTCAAGGGGGTAGAACGGACAAGTTAAGCGTCGTCATCGTCATCACCATCGCCGTAGTCTGCCACGCTACACGCCCCGCGGTCCCGATTGCTGTCGGTTTCTGGAAAACGTGGCACGTGTGCATGGTAAAAGTCTATCTACAAAATACACTTTGCTCGGAGCATCGCACCCTGATTCTCCAACTATGCGTGGGGTGGTAAGGGAGGTCGTGAGATATATTCGCTGAAGCAAGATTTTTCAGTTTCCAGAGGCAGTAAAATTGTTCAGACAGTAAGTTGATGGTTGCATACAGGCCGCCAAATTTGCTTGCAAATATACTGTACACATGCCAAGAGTGCTAGAGTGTTGACTTTACACTCTATCAAAAGCTAATAATACCTTATTAGCTTATTACTTATACCTTATTAGAGGTATTATTAGCTCTTGACTCTATGTGGAAGTTATTGTGTTAAATCACGTAATTACGCACGCATGAACGCACGCACGCAAGCACACACATACGCACGCACATACATATACGCACGCACCCGTATATGTACGCATACACATGCATATGAACGCACGGACGCACGGACGCACGCACACACGCGCGCGCACACGCGCGCACAGACACGCACGCGCACGCACACGCACACACACACGCACACACACACGCGCGCGCGCGCACAGACACACAGACACAAACACACACACATGCGCACGCACACACACACACGCGCGCGCACACAGACACACAGACACAAACACACACACATGCGCACGCACATACACACAGACACACACACCCTCGCTCGCACACGCATGCACGCACGTGCTCACACACGCACACACGCGCACACACACGCGCACACACACATATCAGTAATATCAGGAGTTAATAATGACAAACATAATTTGTCATTATTAACTCCTGGTAATATATATATATACATACTAAAGAGAAAAGCGAAAAGCGCACTTACAAAACGAAATATCGACTTCTCCCGTTCGCGCGGAAATTTAACAACTGGTACGATGTGCATGCAGAGAACGTGTGTGTGGCATGCTGTTATTATCATACCTGGGATACTCTAGTCATGTAAGCACACAGCTGCACATGTCACACGTCATTTAGGATACATTACTATAATAGTGTGACCTCAAGAAAAGTACTATATTACAATCATTAAATTGATAATATATAATAGACATACAGCCGCACATGTCATGCAGGACAGGCGTCCAGTTATCTCAGTCCTCTGTTTGGGTAAAGGGGTTCTAATTTAACCGCGGTAAAATTATTTTACCACGGTAAATGTAGTTATTTCTGAATACAATGGTCAACCGTGCATGGACGGGAGCTTTTGAAACAGCCGAGAGACAGCTCCATACTGCAGGATAATCGAATGGCGAAATTGCAATCATACATAGTTTGGATGAGAGGTACGTTCGCGCCAAGAATTCAACTACTGCACGGATAATGCCGCGCGGTACCAGCACGGATTCAGTAATTTGATTGGTCAGTACCGACACCGTTCGAGTACCTATAGAGTGGAAACTACAACGGGAACATTTATAACACTCAATTAGCAATTTATACTTGCTAGGAAAAACAACAACTAGGAATAAATGTTATCCTGTGCAAAATCTTGTGCCTATCGTATGTATTAGGCGAGTATAAAAGCACCACCTGAAAATAATCATGTTTTACGCAATACTGTTTGAAAGCCCGATTTAACCCGGAATGTGCCGTGAGTAAAGATTTTAAATTACCCTTGCCGTTAACATGACCAGCGCGAGCCCTTCGCACCGCTGTATTTTGTTCCACACCCAGATCGTTGTCGAAGATTGCGTGTCATATGATAATTCGTAAGTGCAAGGTCAGCGACGTAATCTCTGTCGTTGTCGACGCAAGGCCACACAGAGATAAATGCGTGTAACTACTTCACGAAGATTCCATCCGCAGATTGTACATCGAATATATTCTAATTCAAGTATTCTAATTAGGAGCGTTAATCGATAATCCAGATATATTGCTAATCATGGCACGATCGCAGTTTTACACATTTGAATTTCAGGCTTTAACTGCATAGCACGTCTATAACGAGATGAAACTGTTTGATGCGTTGCAAAAGCGTAAAACAGAGTTAGCAGCACACGCACGTGCAATTTTCTACAAAGATAAACGTTTACCAAAAAGTGTTTACTAACGTGAGCTAACTTCAAGCGGTAACCATAATATATGAAACTGTAATTTTGCTCAGGTTGGTGTGAATGATGAACACAGTCCATGTTCGGCGGGCGGATACATCTCCATCATGGTACAATCGGCCGTACGTTCTGCGTGTTATAGTGGTAGTACAGTGAGACTGACTTAGACACGAGCCAGGAAGGTTCACTACACGAAGCTGTAAACGGATGCGCGAAAGTGAAAAGATCCCAAACCGCCCTTATTATGTGATATGCTAATGCAAGGTGTCGCGCATTTCGCCTAGTTTTTTTTCACCCACATTTCTCGTAACACAATCTATCAATTGGTGCAACAAATAGGCTGTTGGAAGCCTTATTTTCAATACAGATATGTAATTATTGCACATTAAATTCACGTGAAGTAGAGACATAGACGGTATGAGTGTATTCGGCACACACGAATTCTTTATGTATTATCGCTCGTTGCCACATTAGGAGGCCTTTACATCGAATTTTAATATATCGGAACAAGGGGTTCTACAAGGAACATCTGAGCCACTATATAACAGAACAGGTTTTCCTTGTATCTGTGTATTAGGTCCAAGTAAAACTGAGTAAAAATGCTACAACGTCATACGTAGATTTTCAATCACCCCAAAACACGACTATCAAATACGCCTAAATAACGCTTAGTGCGACCCTTTAACAAGAGTAAAGCCATCAAAAGTAGCTTGCTAATGATTATAACCTTGCTGGACTTTATCGACGGATTCCATTAGACGATTTCATAGTTAATAGTTTTCATTATAGAACGGTGACCGTGAAGTGTCCGGGAAGTGTTTAACCGCGCGGGGGAAACGTGAAATGTACATTATATATTAGTCATGCGCGCGCGGCTTAAGGCACACGATGAAATATGAATTACTGGTTAAGTGGTTGTAGCACACAATGGCTAGGTTACGTGTCGAGAAAGAATACGAAGGGAGAACACTTGCGCTACATAATCTACTGCAAAATCTTTCCTTCACAGATGGCTGGATAGCTTATAGTACAATTCGTGGTTATAACGTATTCTACGTTGAAACGATTGTATTACTGTTTTCAGAAGACTACAACGGCAAATCGGCATCGCGTTACTAACCTACTAAACTGTCCGACATAACGTCTACGTACGAGTAAGCGGAATCTTTTTGCCTCTCAGTTCGCTGTTAATCTTCAATAATTATGCATCACATACGTGCAATAATTTATTTTTATAATCTTCAAAAACAGTAAGCATATTTACAACTAAATACTGTTGGTAGGCACGATTCTACACACGAGGACCTATGATGGCAGTCACTTGATCGTCACTGTGCATCACTGTAAGCAAACGTTAGTCGTAGTCACCATCCATTTTGCTCACCAACATCAAGGCCGTAGCCTGTGGGGGTGGGTGCAAGGGGAAGCTGCCCCCTAGATTTTGGAGCAAAATTTAAATAAAGCTGAGCTAATAATCGTATACAATTCTAACGTGATATTTTTGGTCACTTATCCGTGAAAGCCTTGTCTCAGACCCACCTCTACCACACTATGGACGTCGATCAAGAGCTGCGCCCGTCGCTCATCATTACACAGTTGAGTCATGAAATTTTGCCTCCCTTAGGAATTTGCTTAGCCTACGGCCCTGTACATCGCCTTCCGTGGCAGTCCTATAGACACGAACATCGTATTAAGCGACTGAATGCTGCATGCCATTCATCTAATGTGAATGGCTATTGCGTGCTTGCCCCTATGGCTACCACTGAATAAACTACGCCTCGCGTCGTCGATGCATATATCTTTCAGCATTATTTTTCAACTGAAGCTCCACTTCGCTGCTGCTGAGGCTACGCGTACGTACCTCTAACCTCAGTACTCCATAGAGACACACTATAACCGACTCTCCTCACGCGGTGCTTCATCTATACATTCCCTTGTTGTCTTTCTTCTGGCTCGATTTCACCCGGGCGACAACGGGAAAGTGGTATTGCTGCTTGTCAACATCATTTTCTCAGCATCTGTCGAACAGCTGGACAACTCCGCGCTATTGATTGCAAACCTTCATCACATCTACACAGGCATGATCAACACCTTTATCTGATGTGTCGCCGCCGTCTCTCAGATGGCTTGTTGCTCGCTCCAGTGGTTTCTTGATTTTATTCGATGCATCGGGTGTCCGGCCAAGCACCTGCTTGCTTCCCTTCCACGCGACGGCCATTTGTGCACACGGCGGCTCCTGTATTACCCTAGATCTCCCACTAGAGGGCACTGCAACACTGTCCAGGCCCCGCAGGAGCGCCAACACGTCGTCGGTGTAGCCGAGGCGCGAGATGCCTCCTCCCGTGACCAGCTCTGCGACATAGTTACAATCATCGTGTTGTCCGCTGGGGTGTTTCTCGTGCAGCCGCCGCCGCTCCGCCGCCAGCCCGCCCTCCTCGTACTCGCGCAGCTGGCTGCGGAAGCCGAAGTTGGGATTGGCGCAGGTGCGCGCCCGACGCACCGCCTCGAGGGCCTCGCGCCACGTCAGCTCGGTGACGGTCATCACGTAGGCGACGGCGACGGTGACGCTGCGCGACGCACCGGCGAGGCAGTGCACGAGCACGGCGCCGCCGGCGAGCCGCGCTGCGTGGATGAAGTCGACACAGGCGGGGAAGTGGACGACGAGGTCCTGGCCCGGCGCGTCGGACGCCGGCACGCACAGGTAGACGACGTCGTCGCGCAGCGGCTTTGCGTTGTCGTGCACCGACAGGATGTGCGTGATGCCGTGCTCGCGTAGTTGTCGCTCGTCCTTCGAGTCGCGACAGCTGCCCACGTACAAGCCGGGAAGCACTTTGTTCATGTCGGCGCCAAGTTGTTCTTACAACGCAGCGATTGATTAATTAACCGTCGACGTCAGCGCGTGGTGACATAGATGAGCTAGCAGGTGATGTAGAAAGTCATGTGAGCTGATCACGTAACGATGCTGCGAGCTGCCAAAGCACAATGGACGCGTGGTTGGGTTTATCCATCAAACGGCTGCGCTTGTCAAGGGCCCGCGGGCATTGCTAAACCACATCATTGACCCACTACGCGTGGATGTAGTGCGAACACAAACTGCAGCCTGCAACGAGAGCAATCACATATATTGAGTTAGACGTCTCGCTTTCTGTTGCTCAATCGATCATTATTTAGAAACGTCATATAGCTGTAGAGCGGCGCTGTCCATCTCATATGGTCAATGCGTGCCTACATATATACGGCGTGCGTAACCAACGGTATTCGCCTTTACATTATGACTATTACTCTACCCCGACTTCTAACACTCAACAGATAAGGCATATATAGCATGCAGTGTGGCTCAATCGCAAACGTATTCTATACTATTAACTTGCGGGCTCATGGTGATACATGCACTGGGCAAATCGATGCATTGCAAGCAAGAGTTCATTCCAAAGTCTCCTATCTTAGAGATTACTACATCATGCGTGAAAAGTTTCACTGAATAGATATGACACGTATGATGTACGTCTACCCCTTGCAGATCGGTTAAGGGCGTATAAAATTGATACTTTGCAAATACGAATTAACGGACATTAATACAATATGCATTATACGAATATAAAATTAAACACAACCGTAGTTATGACGGCGCTTACCGATATCGCCATATCATTGTTCTACGTATTGCTTTCTTCTCAGATACGACTTGCTAGTATGATATTCCAATATCCCAGGCTTTTCAAACGAAATGCAGCGAAGAAAGATGTCGTCAGGTTTCGTCCTATACGTACTGCCGAGAACATGGTAATTCGCCGTTTCTCATATAGGCCTATATATATACACACATGGGGAATTATTTTCGTACCGCCAGCCGTCCGTGTGTAACCAGCTGCCCACCACACAGGCAACTCGTTCTCGCGCGCAATCGATATGTGCTAAAATTATGATTGATTTGATTTTAACCGGGAGGCTGTCTCTGCTAGTGCTGATGAACGGTGATATTCTCTGGCTGCGGAGACATACAGGAGACTCAAGAAACGAGCGGACATCGTGAAAGAAGAAAAATAGGTCTGTGATGCGCACTCATACATTAAATTTGTATTTTATAATTGAACACTGTACTTTAAACTTTTTTGTAAAAGACTGATATGTTCGGTGTATTAAGTACAAAATCCCAAAGCGATATAAAGCACATGCGTGAACTCAGAGTTGTATAGTGGCCTATGTTGCAGCAGCTAAGAAGTGCGCATTAATTTAGTTTTTTTAATAAAAGTTGGCGCACATATTTGTGCCAAATGATTTGATCACAAACGTGCGATATTCATGTAGTAAGTTTGGGAGATACAGTGTCTGAACCCTATTCTGCAGTATGAGTAAAAACGAACAGTACATAATTATTTATGTAAGCACACAGTATAAGATTTCATTGGGAAGTTGCATATATTGTTGCGTACGGCTAATATTGGCACAGGGTCACCGTTCAATGAATTTAATAATATAGGAATAAACTTATTATATGTCTTTATACTGATACCAACAGGTCGTCAACTAATATTATTTTTTTGCAATATCGTGCTGAAAGACTTACTGTGACCACGTACTGCTTGCATCGGAACATTATTTTTCGTAAATTTTTGCTCTGCATTTTAACAGCATTGTCATTTGCATGTCAACTGCATATATACTGGGCATACGGGAAAACAGGTCTCTCACTATGCTGCGGGAAAATTTCGTACAACTCGGTTTATTATTATTATTATCGGAAGTGGTAGGTATGTGTTCTAAAACTTAAAAGTATAATTTCAATAAATGACGGCTATGATATATCAGAGCATATAAATCAACGTGATTTATATGCTCTGGATATATTATATATATAGCACACGTATCGCCATCTATCGGCTCATTTCAATTTTATTATTGTTACGTCAGCCTGGTCACCCCAACGTAAAAATAGAACATCGAACATAGGGCACATAGAAACACATCAGGATGTATTTTTACGTCAGTCTACTGCGCCGAACATTTGCTCTCCATTTTTAAAAGTACTTGTATTACTTCAACGAAACTTAATCTTATTTTGCAAATACTGGGAATACGTGAACACAGGTTTACACGTGTTACAAGGAAACGTTGTGGGTATAGGCCTATGTGCTCCATAAATTAAAATTATAATTTAAATTCTAGCTCAAATTTTTCACTTATCTTAAATTTGTCTAAAGATGATTGATAACAAACCCTTAATAATTAAACAATGACTAAAGCTGAAAATAACTGCCGGAATACGCGTCTAACGCAAGATGGCGCTATTGTATATCCGGTAACAGATTTATGTAAATTATGTTTTGTTGTGGTCTGGTTCTGCTATCTTTAGCTTAATTCGTCAATTAAGCATTAACCGTTCAATTTATGAATAAATTGACTGTTGGAATCGACTCCCCGTCCCAAAATACCCCTAGTAACATGTATAACATGACTATAAAGTGTTCAGGTAAGATTTACACAATTTTCCCATAATCGCGAAAATTGGAAAAAGGGCGTGGCCCGTAAAAAAGTTTCCGACCAACAAAAATTTTGTAACTTTTTTTTAGGTTTTTTATGGACCAATACCAACACATTAGTGAAGAATCCAGCTTGTTTCACTCGATTTCCCGGTAGAGTGCACTTTATGACTGGACTATCTTGTGGTATCACTGTGAAACTCTACTGTAAATCAAGGAGCTACATATACCTATGTATAGTACCCCCCCCCCTGTTGTATGTAGCTCATCACTGGTTCTCCAAATCAAACCTGATTATATTAGATTTATATTTTGGAATTTATTTAATAACGCTTACAAGTTACAAATAACAGACTCAGAGTGGCATATATCTGACGGTCTTCGATTTCCTAAATTCCCGGCAGTTTAATTTTCAGCGTTATCTCAAGTAAACAAGGGTTAGGGTTAGGAACTGCCGGGCATTTCGGAAATCGAAGACCGTGCCCGGCTGCCGGGCATATAGCCATAGCGTACAAATAATACATAGTTACATATGTCATAACAATTTGTCACTGTCAGTAAATGCAGCGAGGGAGGGAGAGTTGACTGTACAGTCTTCTTGTCAATCACTCTGCAATGTGGTACTGGTTAGTTTATACTCAAAGTTAATCTAACCTAAGTTAAGTTAAGTTGGTCAGGTTCCAGAAATAAACCTGAGACTACCTGAACCTGAGGTATAGTAATACAATTGACAAATAGACATATGAAGGACCCAAATATAAAGACGATGGCAAAAATGCTCAAAGAAGCATTCACTAGATGCTCAATCTTAAATTATAACAATAACTGAATGCAAGACATGAAATGATAAGTAACTACACATGTATATCACAGTTACTATTAAATTTACAAAAGAAAAAATTGCACATATATTTAATTAACATCATCACACATGAACATATCATTACAATTTAATTACAATTAGTATTACAATGCCACATTAAAAACATATAAATCAGATGGATAGAAATAAGATAGAGTACTAGACATTGTTTAATAGTGAGAATGTGCAGGTCTGATTTCATACAAAGAAAGAACTACAACAACGACTGCTTAACAAAATTACAGAAGCCAGAACTGGGAAAAAATTCTGTAAATGTAATCGATTAACAACCTGTTATGTGAAATTTAATGTTTTATTTATAATTTAGTATTATTTGTTTTACTTGTGTAGAACTTGAAATGCTGGACGTCAGTAGATCGACTGATACACCTAGGAGTCTTTCCAATGAGAGCAAACATGGAATGCTACGCTTTCTGAAAAAACAATCAATGGAAAAAGATAGTTTTCTGAGACAGGATGACAACAATGAAGCATCATTCAAAAGTACTTCCACCTTTACAGTAAAAGAAAGCCCCAAGCCAACTCCGAGAAGGTAGGACATATCTTAGTTATATTAGTAAGTATATAAGTCCTTGCATCTCTGTCTGATGTTTGCTATTTTTTTGCTTTAATAAATTTGAAATTGTTTTTATATCAATCGATGTTGCAAACCTATAATTTCAATATGGATCATGCAGGATCTTTCAGTGGATTGCCAAGACTATGATAACGAAGCATTAGCATTCATTTTGATATAAACTCAAATTACGGATATACTGGCTCTTAGTTATTTACTCTTGTGAACAGTACATCAGTGTTATTTTAGTAAATCATGAAATATACCACTGTGTTGTGTAACTGTGTTTCTCCTAGTCGACTCCATCTAGATGAGCGTGATAAAGTCGGGACACCATCCTCCTCCAGCCCGCATTTGCTGAAGTTGCACCACAGTAGCCAGGTTGATGTTCCCAAGCAATCATGCGCAGCACAGGAAGATTCTTTACGTGAAGATGTCTGGCTCGGCAATAAACCATATCATTCAAAATTTCTCAAGTCGCGCTCTCGTGATCACCAAGTCGATGACAGAGAAAAGAGTGATTCCGAAAAAAAGGAATTAATGGATAAATCTGATGAAACGATCAACAAGGAAGATGTTACACGTACATCTCCACCTAAATCACCACCCCGTAGCAGCGTCTCTGTAGACGAGCATGACAAGTATGTACATCCTATTGCTCGTACAGAATTCTTTTCAGTAATTATATAGCTCAAGTACTTTATAACAATTTTGAATAATCTTTCTCCTAATGCTTATTGCATTTACCTTTACATAGAGTTGCGTAGGGACTATGAATTTGTTATGGAAAGAAATTGATCGTAATTCTTACTAACAGATTGAATACACAAGATGGGAGCACAGAGATGGGACATGATGATCCCCCAAAAGGTACTTGATTTGTTGTGATAATGGTTTTCTTAATAGGGGCTGTTATTAGATGTGCCAACATGGTTCATCTTTCTTGTTGTAGTATGCATCTTGAAGTGGCTATAACTTGCAAATTTAGTTTTGATATTCATTACGCAGCAAGTATGCATTTGTTACATGATCATAAAACAGATTGTGCTAGCTCTACTGAGATGGGTGCATTCGATATAACCCAAACAATTAAAGGTCATAACGGTCTTGTTTTTTTAATTATTCCAGTGAATGTGTCTGCAGAGGTACCCGCCTTATTAAACAGAAGTGTGCCATCCATGACACTATCACAACAATCTGTTCAAACAGGTTTGAATGGTGACCTTGGGAATTACAGGTAATGAACCAGCCTCATTCTAAGATGTGGAATGTAATTAGGTTAGCCCACCAGTTGTTCATAAATTTTCATAAATCAGCTTATCATTTTTTAAATAATAATTACTACTGAAGTTTTTTGAATACATAACTTCTAACTATTGTATTATTTAGCTATGAAAAATGTGTTAAACTTTCTATGTTGAAGGCATGTTTAAGCAGTTCTATTTATAAATTATTGATGAATTATATTATGCACATTTTTTGTACCTAATAATTTCTTTACATGTTTTCGTAATTTGCAATGTTAAGTCATCTGTTAAGCACAAGTGGAGAGCCAATCAACAGAGAAGACACCCCTCTTAGGTACGGTATAAGCTGGCGTTATGCAACATTGTTTTATTTAATTATCGTTGTGTTATTGAAATAGTAAAATTTTAGATGTTGGTACTACTGTTCCAAAACGATATTTCTCATGAGTAAACATCATTTAATAAATTCCAATTCAAAGTTTCTATAGCGCGTTCAGACAACGCACCCAGAGAGTATGTCTGACTTTAACAACATAACGTAAAGATTTAATATTTATCGTAGATGTGTCTTGGTGTATAGATTTATTCATGATAAAGTGTATATATGTAGCAGCAGCGGGAGTGGGATCTCGGTAGACACAGTCCGACCTGCCTCCGTGCAAACTGGTTCAATCATCTCCACTCAAGCACCGTCTCCAGCACCGAGACATCACGCTTCTCTTGCTACATTCACCGAAGACGAGTGTTCCCAGTCTCGTGCAGAGCAGACTGTGATAATAAAACCACGCCCTTCGCCTAGAGTAAGGAGAGCTTCTTCTAGTGTCGAGCATGTAAGTAATGAGGTGTTGGTTTTTTCCTCCGCCCTCTGCTGTGTTGTATCTTCAGGATTTGGCTGCACATATCATGAGAGAATTGAATTAAATTATTGCAATCGTGTTTGTTAGAAATAATCGATTACCATGCGATGTAGTGATAGTGTGACTTCACGTCAGCTGTGTTATCCGGGTGACATTAATATAATCGTTGTCCGGATCAAATCACACGTGGCAAGCTTGGCTATGAATTCACAGTGACAAAACAGGGAGGTTAAGATGCTATTATGCAGGTTTTTAGCTCAGCTGACGAAGTCGGATGCAGCTTGTAGAATCGCATGCTTGTCCATCCGTCCGTGCGTCCGTCCGTGCATCTGTCAACAGTTGGGCACAAATCTTAACCACTCGACGTACGGTCTTAATATTCGGGACGTCGGGGGGATCGCGAAAAGGACTCGGGATGTCGAATTTGGGGGTCAGGGGTCAAAGGTCAAGGTGTGTTAATGGAGGGAGAATATTTCCTTCTTAACTTAAGGTATAGGAGGAAATGCGGAATTGCGGCACAAATCTCAACAGCTTGACCTACGCTCTTAATATTTGATGTATAGTGTGATTGGGAGGAAACCAATCACCAGCGCAAAATTGGAGGTCACAGGTCAAAGGGCAGTGGGGGAAAGGTCAGATATCAGATATTTTCTGAGGACATGGTCTAACGGACCGAGTGCAAAACATTTTTGTTTCAGCGCTGACCTACCATTTTTATCACTTTATTAAAAGGACCATGAAATGTGCTTTCGCTGACTGACGTGCGAAGAGTCAAGTGTCTGATCACCTTTTGACCCTCAAGAGGAGGGGTAAACACGGATTTGTTGACTTTTAACAAAGGGACTGAACTGCTTTGCTATTAGAGCCCCACCACCCGGCACCCCCCACCCTCCCCTTTCCCACCCTTCCCCTCCCCACCCTCTTTCCACCACCACCACCACTACGCTCACGCTTGACGCATATCCATGATAACATATTAATATAGAGAAGTCATTAAAGTTACACAGGTGTATCTTTATTACTGTTCTACCAGTATAGCAAAGCCTATCATAGATTTTAGATCTGTATTAGTAGTATCCTAGATATATGCTCTGAGCGCGAACGTGGTGGCGGGAGGACGCACTTCATTCGGTTGCCAGTGAGTTTTATCGGAAGAATACCCGGCTACAGTACACGTCAGTTGAGCGCTGTCGCTCCGCGGCACTTGTCGAAATCTCTGAGGGCCTTTTTACTAAAATCTAGTAATTTTCATATTTTGAGTAGCAAACTCTGGACACAACGCAAATGAATGAGTCCATCACTCTGCAGAAAGAAGGAGCAGGCATATCGGACCCACAGCTGAATGATAGTATCAACAGAACGTAAGTGATGTATTTGTGCGTAAACCGCTGAATACTTTTTACACGTAAACTAGGGCAAAATTACTGTGTACCTATGATATATTTCATTAAATTGTATCAAATATGTAATTTACTCCAGTAGGTGTGCTAGACGTTCTGCCGGTATTTTTTTTATATGATATGCAAGTCGCTATGGCCCTGGCATATTACCGCAGACATTTCAGTTTGTACAATGACAATGTGTATATTTTCATTTTCATACGTCCATTTGTGTCATTTGCGCTATCATATTCGGTGTCACTGACCCGCGGCTTCGCAATGCATTACCAATGTATGTTAAATTTACAGAAATAGGTGTCGCTTACATTTCCCTTGTTGTCACCGACGTTGGCTCTTGGCAGGCGGCCAAAGACGAGCACGTCTAGCGGTGCCCCCGTAAGGCGAGCGCGGTCACGCATCGCCTCTTTGCCGGCGTCGCCGCGTGGCAGGCGTGTAGCGTCTCCAGCGTTCACCGACACGCTCAGCATCCGACAGGCAGTGTGGGAGGACTGGTACTGGCGCAAGACAGACGAGAAGACTCGTAAGCGGCGTGAAGCAGTCGCCGAGGAGGAGGAGAAGCGCGCAAAAGAGGAAGAGGTGCGTGGCGTGGCAGCGCCAGTGTGACATGCGATGTGCATTTACTGGATGTATTTAGCGGTAGGAGTAAATCTGCGGCATCACTTTATTGAAAAGCCCGCCTGGACACTGGTCATTGAAACTTTTCAGCAATTCGTCTGAGATTTTATGGTGTAGGCAGGGAAAGAATATCATCACCATGTTTTGTTTAATATGGTCACAGTGTAGGTTACCTATTAATGCACTGTAAGGAGTGAACCGTATACAGCTTTAAATTCTTTTTTATTTATTGCAGATATTGAATGATAAATCTTTTGTGTAGCATGATTTAAACCTCCTTGAACTGAAAATGTGCATTAAACATAAAGAAATGCTTGACGTAAACATTTCTGTCAACAGGCAAAGAGAGAGCAGAAAGAAATGGCAGCTTTGTCATTCACGAGTTGGAAAGAGAAACGGGAGGAGTTCTTCAAGAAGAAGTGGCATGAGAAGGTCAATACTGAAAAGGCAAAAGAAAAAGAGTTGATAGACAAAGCAGAACAAAAAACAATCGCATTAAAGGTATTATGCCTGCCACACACCTAATTTGTGCTGTATTTTGCTCACACGTGCAGTGCAATGTGACAGATTGTGTGCGTGAGTGGTTGCGTGTGTGGTTGCGCACATTCATTTGTTTGTACATTTATACTTGTATAATGCAGGCATGAGAATTTTCCGCGGATTTGCAGATTCCCGGGTTTTTTCTCTCTCCATTTTGGTCATTCTTGAGATCGATGCAAAAAAAAACTAATAAAAATTTGAGGTGGGTAAGGTGTACTTTTCTTGTCAAAATGGATGCCATTTTTAATTTAAACTTCATAAAAGTCAGGAAAAATACGTCAAATTTCACACAGAAGTAACGGAACTCCAGATAAATATTGCGGTGTATATAAAACATTGAAATTTTCATAGAAAATTACAAGACTTTGAATTGTTAGTCATGAAATTGGTCTTTTACTAAGAACAGAATGCCCTGACTTGCAGTTTCCCCCAGGATGCATGGAAATGGCCTATCTGCACTTTCAAATTTCAAACATTTTCTGGGGCCATGCCCCCAGACCCCCCCCCCCCATAGCAGGACAGTGTGCGATGCAAACTGAAGGCACAAATTGAAATATTCCCTCCAAAAACATCTCAACCTGTTCTCATGCCTGATAATGCCTTGCCTGTGTGTGCATTGTAATAAGACAGTCAGGCTGTGTAATCGTGTGTGTACATCCATGCTTGTGTGTAATCAATGACCAATCAATGTTCACACAGACAATATAATGTGACAGTCAGGCTGTGTTTGCGTGCGTGTACATGTGTGCTTGTGTGTAATCAAGTACCAATCAATAATTACACTTACAGTGTAATGTTACAGTCGAGTCGTGTGTGTATCATTTGTTTCTCACGTTTTCAGACATTTGAGATATGGAGAGAGAATAAAGATATTCTGCTAAAGGAGCAAAAGAAAAAAGCTAATAGGGTGGAACGAGTCAAAACCATACAGATAGAAGAGAACAAGAATGAGAAATGGCGAGAGGCACAGAAGCTATATGATTTCTGGTGAGCTATTTTTAATCGGAAAATTCTCCACGAAATTTCAATAAATAGATGAGAGAATGAGACGAGAATAGTGAATGTGCAGAGCTGTTGGATTTGGATAAAAATAGCTACGTATTTGATTTTTGCTACGTGAAGATCAATATACCAGTGCGTTATACTCATGTGTGCGCATGTGTGTGTGTCACCTGTCCTTATGTTAAAGCATAAGCTGTATTTCTATTTCACTTTTCTAGCTCTACGACTTTGCTATGTTGTGATTTTTTAGGAAATCTAGAAAAGACGTAGATATTCGAAAGAAATTGAAAGAAACAATGAGGAAGACATGCACGACGAAGGAGTTAGAGCGCTCACAAAAATTTGAAAGGTTTGATATTTGCCTATATTTGATTCGTACCATATCCAGCACTCTTGCCAGATCAATCTGATTATGTTTAATCTATCTATATTTAATCTGATCTGTTTATATCTGCTGCGCGTTTCTAATCTCAAAGTGGAGTCCACAAGTGGGAGTCCACGGGGTTCGTGACATATCTGCGCTCAGTCAAGATGTTTTTTTAGTTTCTGTAGACATCCAGTGATAACTTTGTTAGCTATGTACAGGAGGTCAGCTTTGAATGCAAATATATTGCTCTGCTTCTAGCTGAAATCCTAATCACTCTAGTACAGTTGCTGTCAGTGGCACCTTGGAACATTTAGAATGAAAGAGGGTTAGCAGCTTGGTTATATACGCTGCTGAAATGAGTAAATATATTCTACCCACACTACCAGGCTGGGTGAATGAGGTGCCTGACGAGTCTGGATCGGTCAAAATGTGAATGCCACTTCATTGTTAAAACATTGTTGTGATGTGAGCCGAATAAATCTTTCTGATTCTTCTTATCGATTTGTTTCTTTTTTAGGATAAAAGAGGCGGAACAGAGCTATGAGGACTGGCTGCAGAGGAAGGAGCGGCAGATGGAGAGAGACACTGTATTACGACAGAGGCACCGCTCTGAAGAACTTGATAGCCCCAGGCCTGCTTGGAGTCCCGTTGGGAGGGGAAACGCTGTCGAATGACTCCTGAGCTGGTAAACAGTCAGGTTGGCATCTCTGATGACCTCTAGGTCCTAAACCCATAAGAGTGATCCATCAATAACCCTGGTCTGGGTTGTTGTAACAGTAAAGGGCATGTTAGATAAGCTATTTGATGGCATTACCAAGGTCTTATCATGAGAAAGATAAGTGCACGTCTTCAATTAGCCTACATAGCTAGCCAGGTACAACTGGTGTTATTATTGTAATTTTTTGGGGTGGGGTAGGCTTTGTCAGAACGATGATTTGCCACATAATTAGTCCTAGTCCTAACTTTCAGAATCAGAACAGTCCCAACTCCGTTTCTTTAACTTGTAGCCTTGTCACTAAGTTGAGATTATCACGTTGCAGTAGTATGACTTGTTTATGACAATGCTATTCTCTTATTGCATTGATAATCCAAGGTGTCATCTTAGCTTTAATTTCAGGTCTAACTCTGCAATCATTCTGATAATGGCCCTAGGTCATTATTCAAGGGGGGTCTGTATATCCAAAATAAACATGAAAAGAGAGGGGCAAAAATCTCACGTGAATTTTCCTCTAATCTCAATATATGTTTTTATACGAGAGAGTCCTTATTTAGGCATACTTAAGTCTTCACAACGGGTTTGTAGAGTTTGTATTTATATATACAGTTGTAAGTTTCAGATGTGTATCCGTCCATAAATTATTATATTGTTCCGTTAAATTACCATGATTTGCAAGCATCAAAACTCATAATTACTGCTATTATGTACCAAGATTCTATGTGTGTTTGTCTAGTCGAGGAGGTTTATCTTGGAAAAAAAGGTAATATTTTACCATTTAAAACCGTTTTCTACGTGTTGTAGAAGCCAGTATGTGTATGCTCAATATGTTAAAGGTAATTTTCTAGAGCAAATGTATAATGCACTTGTGATCAATCATTCACCCTTCCCAACTTTTCTCCGAACATTTAACCTTATATAAAATGCTTTATGCATTGATGGTGTGCCATATTAAGATTGCAAATAAAGTTATATGCAGTGCACAACAAATATATAGGCCCTCGTTCAAGCTGCATTAATCAGCTACTGCATAAGCTTTAACTCGGGCTGACAATTAGCAAATTGGATTGGAGCAAAACTTATTGTTCGACCTTGTGTGTCCTTGGAGATTTGATGTTGGGTGAAATAACGATGTCTATCGCTAATCCACCACATTCCAGTTACAGTTGATAATAAACAACGCATACTGCCAGCTCCCAGCAAGAAAGTGTCCACAACTGATGTTTACATGCCACACAAGGTGTCTCCTTGTGACAGAACCTGCCGGTAAATCCCATTTTTAGCTCACCTTGACATCGTCAAGCTGAGCTATTGCCATGGGTCGTCGTCCGTCGTACGTCTGTCCGTCTGTCCGTCCGTCAACATTTCGCTACGGTCAACGATAACTCAGGAACCGTTTGGAATTTGGGTATAGTTGTTACTGCTATGCTCCCATATTAAACGTCCTATTTTGAAGCACGCCAGTCGACGTACTTTTGAGCCACGGCAATTTTTTGGCAAAAATAGGAATTGCCATTAGTCAGTTCAGGTTCAACGGATTTTGCTCATTTTTGGTATGTGAATGAATAAGGGCTATAGTACAGTCGGTTAGGTCAGGATACCATGCATCCAAATCATTCAAATTGTGAAAAAAGTATGAAAATTGGTACACTTGCATACTTTTTTATGCTCTTTTATTTAAAGACAGGACACACGCGATCCAATTACAACTTCGGCCGCCATCTTGAATTCAAAAATGGCCGCCGTCATTTCTTCGCTGGATGACAGCAGCTTAATTTGCACGGTGTCGAAAAAGTGCACTAGCACATATGCAGTAGCGCATCACACACACGCGCGCGCACGCACGCATTCGCAGGCGAATAGCCCATTACGTATCTCATTCGAGCAGTGACAAAACATTACTGCAGATGTGCCTTTACAACACCTGTGAACACTGTTAGTTCTACTTATATCCAGCGGTGTGCACTGACTATCGCAAACACACACACACACACACACACACACACACAACACGCGACCACCACACACACACACACAACACACACACACACACACACACGGCACATGACATTCACACGCGCCTTGTGCGCGCACGGCCGCACAGACGTACACACACGCGCTCACGCACACATACACACACAGACATACACACGCGCATCGCGAAACGCACCCACCGCACGCACGCACGCACGCACACACACACACACACACACAACAGACAATATTAACCATATAATCACACCTCTATGAAATGGTCATTCAATGGAACAGAAATGAAAGTGTCAATGACACTGTAGCTCACCACAAAAAGGACACAAATGAGTGAGTAAGAAGAAGTCAGTTTTAATTGAGCAACCATCGACGTACATTATAGAAACGATTGCCATCTGTATATCGCAATAATAATTTATAAACCAAAATGAATCACAATTTGTGACCATAGATGGCGCCATACCCGCTTTGTAGCGATGGCGTTTGAAATAAATAGGTTATGCTGCGTTCTGACATGTTTTGCAAAACTTTACTCTAATATAGACGTTTTATCGGCAGGGTGGAGAAGAAATACCAATTTTGCATTAAAGATATTGTCAATGAAATCTTGTAAAACGAACCAGACGAGTGTAACACCACAGACTGTTTGTGTCTATATAATATGCTATATAATTGCCAAACCCTACCTAATTTGCATAATTTTTTTTTTAAATATCAAAACCCCTAGTAGTATAGGTACTATAGTACAGTAGATTAGAAAAAAATCGTTCAAAATGTGAAAAAAGTATGAAAATTGGTACACTTGCATACTTTTGTATGCTCTTTCGACACACGCGATCCAATTACAACTTCGGCCGCCATCTTGAATTCAAAAATGGCCGCCGTCATTTCTTAAAAAATAGCTATATCTCAGTTAATAATCTTCGTACAGACTTGAAAATTGACTGACAGACGTAATTTGGGTTACTATTTCATACAACAACGTGATGCATGTGATCCAAGGGCGTTTTCGGCCGTCATCTTGAATTACTATTTCATACAACAACGTGATGCATGTGATCCAAGGGCGTTTTCGGCCACCATCTTGAATTCAAAATGGCTGCCGTCATTTCTTAAAAAATAGCTATATCTCGGTTAATAATCTTCGTACAGACTTGAAAAATATACTGACAGACGTAATTTGGGTTACTATTTCATACAACAACGTGATGCATGTGATCCAAGAGAGTTTTTGGCCACCATAAAAATTACAAACTTAGCAATTTTTCCGTTCACGGAAGATATAGAGACGTGAAAATTTGCAGACTGGCGCAGGTTAATAAGCTCTTTCATATTAAAACACAAGTTCCAATTATAATTACAGCGGCCATATTGAATTCAACATGGCCGCCATCACATTTTACTCTGTACTTC